GAAGCGTGGTCGACTACGTGGGAGTCCAGCGACATAGCCATTACGCTAACTGCTGGTGCTATTATTTATTATTATTTTTAATTTGCTATAGGGCATGTGTCTTCACCAGAGAAAGGGAGAGAGAGAGAGAAAGAGAAAGCAAGCTGCCAGGTCTGGGACTTGAACTGCAGTCAACCATGTGGGAATCCAGTGCCCTAACCACCACCTCACCTGCTGGCCTGGGGGGTGTGGGCTGGTGGTGGTGGCAATTTTAAACAGAAAAATATATTAGATGTGCTTAGCAAGAATGGCAAGTGTGCAGAAGGACTGAATTCAAAGTGACTTGCCCACAGAGGGTTGTGGGCGGCGGTTTCGAGAGCCAGCTTTGCAGCTGTAAGTGTGTGGTCCTCGCAGCCCACTGGCTTGTCCCCTCCTGCAGGATTCAGGTGTATTGCTCTTTCTTTCCTGAGCTGTTTCTAATTTACTTTTCAGCCTCCTCCTGGGCAAAGTCAAGAAAAAGACACTAAAAAGAAAATGAAGGAAAGCAGGCCCGACAACGAGGTAAAGAAATCTTATAAAATAGTTGCTATGGAAATCTAATATACTACCTGTGACTTTTTTTTTTTTTTTTTGAGAGGTTTTCGCTATAGGGCGCGTGCGCTCGCCAGACAGACAGAGACATAGAGACAGAAAGCGAGAAATCACCCCCCAGGGGGGATGGTCACGCCGCAATCCCTTCTCCTCCATTCTCCTCTCGGGATCTTGGGCACGCACGCACACACGCCCGGCGTGAGATTTAAGCCACCGGGTCCGAGACGCGAACCACGGTCAACTACGTGGGAGTCCAGCGACATAGCCATTACACTAACTGCTGGTTCCTTTTTTTTTTTTTTTTTCAGAGAGGGATTTTTACTATAGGGCACATGCAATATAGACATTGGATAGATAGAGAAACAGAAAAGAAATCCCCCACACACACACACTCACACACCCAGCGTATGGCCACACTGCAGTCCCTTCTCCTCCATTCTCCTCTCGGGATCTTGGGCACGCATGTACAAGCTCCCGGCATGAGTGTTAAGCCACCGGGTGAGGGACTCAAACTGTGGCTGACTACCTGGGAATCCTGCGATACAATTACGCCATCTGCTGGTCCCACTACCTGTGACTTTAAACACATATTTATTTTGGGTTGTCGGAAAAGTCGAGACACATTTTTGCATAGAAAAATGACGTCTTGACTTTTCCGACAACCCCATAATGAATTAACCAGAATTTAAAATAAAAATCGTAATTGCTAGGACCGCCAGATACAATGGTTACATTGCTGGACTCCCAGGTAGTCAACTACAGTTCAAGTCCCAGACCCAGCAGCTTAAAACTCATGCCGGGCATGTTTGTGTGCATGCTCAAGATCCCGAGAGGCAAATGGAGTCGAAGGGATTGCATTGTAGCTGTCCTCCCAGGGGGCGATTACTGGCTTTCTGTCTCTGTGGGGAACATACACACCCTATAACAAAAATCTTAAAACACACACACACACACACACACAAAAAAAAAAAAAACCTTTAAAAACACAAAAACCAAAAAGATACGATTGCTTATTAAATTATTATTTGGAGTACATTAGTATATTTAAAACTTTGGAAGCCTAAGCTAGAAGATATCTTAACTTAGAGAGGAGCTACCCACACAGATGTATTTAAAGTGTTCTTTAGTCTTTTTTTTTTTTTTGGGTCTTTTTAGATTTTTGCCATAGGACACGTGCACTTGCCAGAGAGCAGCAGACAGAGAGGGAACGTAAGAAGGCAACCCCCCAGGGGAGACAGCCACACTGTAGTCCCTTGTCCATTCTCTTCTTGGGATTTTGGGCGCACGTACACGTGCCTGGCGTGTGTTTTTCCAGCTGTCGGGTCCAGGACTCGAACAATGCCATCAGCTCTGTGAGAATGCAGCTGTGTTAAACACCATGCCACCGCAGGCCCCTCTGACTCCTCTTTAGCTCTAAGGGTTCAACTCAAAGCCCACCTCCTCCACCTGCCCCTCCCATGACCATCTCCCTTTCCAATATGTGTACAGAATCATACATACCACATAGCATTTGTTTTTTTTTTTTCTTTAGAGAGATTTTTATTATAGGGCACGTGTGCTCATGGAGAAACAGTCAGAAACAGACAGGGAGAAATCACCCCCGAGGGGGGATAGCCATGCTGCAGTCCCTTCTCCTCCGTTCTCTTCTTGGGATTTTGGGCATGCACACGCACATGCCCAGTATGAGTTTTAAGCCGCCGGGTCCAGGACTTGAACCATGGTCAACTACGTGGGAGTCCAGCGACGTAAGCATTATGCCATCTGCTGGTCCCAAGCGCTTGTTTATGTTCCATCGTGCTTTGTTTTCTAGTTGTTTCTCTTGCCTTTGTTTGAACTCCTCAGCCAGACAGATTTGGTCTTCTGTCTGTCTCCAGTGAGTACACGTGCCCTATGGCAAAAATATTCTAACAAAAAGGGACCAGCAGTTAGCGTAATGGTTATGCCACTGGACTCCCATGTAGTCGACTGTGGTTCAAGTCCCGGACCTGGTGGCTTAAACTCACGCCGGGCGCGTGTGTATGCGTGCCCAAGATCCCGAGAGGAGAATGGAGGAGAAGGGATTGCAGCATGGCCATCCCCCCTGGGGGATGATTGCTTGCTTTCTGTCTCTCTGTCTCTGTCTGTCTGGTGAGTGTATGCGCCCTATAGCAAAAACCTCTCAAATAAAATAAATAAATAATTTTTAAAAAGAAAGAAAGAAAAAAAGAGTTCATGGAGAGAGGTGAGATAGAGCCATAGGGACTAGACCTTCCATGGCTGAGAGGGCCGCGGCGAGGTGGGACTGCTTTAGAGCTGAGCAGCTAACCAAAAGCAGACCCCGTCTTAGTCTCACTGAATGCTAATGATTTGCAGGTGAAACTTCAACCGAATTTCATAAAAGAAAGATTAAAGCTTTTCGAAACGCTGAAAGAAGATCGTCAGCTTTCACGGGCCAGTTATGAAGCAAAGGAGGCTGTAGGCCATGCGATCACAGTAAGAATGGCCGATGGGAAGACAGTGGGAGGGGAAGCCTGGAAAACAACGCCGTATCAGGTGGCCGCTGGAGTGAGGTAATCCATAGTTCAGATATTTAGTATTAGTAATTATTACCAGAGTCTGGTGGAAATGTTCCATTCGGGACTGAGTAAGAAAAGATCCTTGTTTTCTTATTCAGTTGCATATGTTAAATTTTTTTTTTTTGGCCTTTTGGCTTCTAAAATTCTGTTTTTGTTTTTGTTTTTTTTTAAAGAATTATTTACTTATTTCTATCTTTCTTTTTTTTGGAGAGGTTTTTGCTATAGGGCACGTGCGTTCGCCAGACAGAGAGAGACGTAGAGACAGAAAGCGAGAAATCACCCCCCAGAGGGGATGGTCACGCCGCAATCCCTTCTCCTCCATTCTCCTCTTGGGATTTTGGGCACGCAAGCACACGCGCCCGGTGTGAGTTTTAAGCCACCAGGTCCGGGACGTGAACCGCGGTCGACTACATGGGAGTCCAGCGACACAGCCATTACGCTAACTGCTGGTTCCCCTTATTTCTATCTTTATTTATTTATTTATTTTAACTTGTCCAAAGAGAGAGAAACAAAAAGGGAGAAAGTGAGAAAGCTAGCCACCAGTTCCAGGACCCAAACCATGGTCTGCCACGTGGGAGTACAACACCCCAACCACCATGCCACCTGCCGGCACTAAAACTCCTTATTTAAATAAATGATTGATCACAGTGTCTCTATAAAAGATCCATATTATAAAGTTCTTTTTTTTTCTTTTAAAGAACTGTTTATTTATCTTCATCTATTTTTTATTGTTCTTCAGTTTGACCAAAGAGAAAGAAGGAGAGTAAGAAAGTAAGCTGCCAGGTCTGGGACTCAAACAGAGGTTGGCCATGTGGGAGTCCAGAGCCTTAACCACCACACCACCTGCTGACCCTACATATTATAAAGTTCTAATAAAACCACATAGTAGAGGGACCAGCAGGTGGCGTGGTGGTTAAGGCATTGAACTCCCACATGGCTGACTGTAGTTCATGAACTGGACATGACGGCTTGAAATTCACACTGAGCACATGTGTGTGCATGCCCCAAATCCCAGGAGAATGGAGGAGAAGGGATTGTGGTGTGGCCATACCCTCTGGGGGGTGATTTCTCACTTTGCCTATCACTGTCTCTGTCTCTCTGGCAAACACATGTACCTTTTGGCAAAAATCTTAAAAAAAAAGTGGGGGGGGAGAGGAAAAAAAATCTATAATCTTGACAGAGCATTTTATTCATTAATCAAGTGATTTCTGTAAGTTTTATTTTGTTTTGTTTTGTTAGTTTACTGTAGGGCACCTGCACTGGACAATGAGAAAGAGAGAGAAAATTAGAAACTACTTCCTCCAGCAGAGATGGCCATGCTGCAACCCTTCTCTGTTCTCCTCTCTGGACTTTGGGTATGCATGCCTGGCATGATTTTCAAGCCACCGGGTCTGGGATTCAAACCATGTAGTCAGCTGTGTGGGATCAAGCCACCTTAACCTCTGTGCCATCCGTTGACCCTCCACGAGTTTTTACAGGTCTCTTAGTTATAGGTTGCAGATGTTTGTGTGACAGCTATTATCAGTCCTGGAATTGTATTTTGACCTTTCTAAAAAGTAGAGGGACCAGCAGTTAGCGTAACGGCTATGTCGCTGGACTCCCACGTAGTCGACCGCGGTTCGCGTCCCAGACCCAGTGGCTTAAAACTCACACCAGGCGCGTGTGCGTGCATGCCCAAGATCCTGAGAGGAGAATGGAGCAGAAGGGATTGCGGCATGGCCATCCCCCGTGGGTGTGATTTCTCGCTTTCTGTGTCTCTCTCTCTGTCTGTCTGGCGAGCACACGCGCCCTATAGCAAAAACCTCTCAAAAAAAAAAAAAAAAGCAGATAGTGAAATTATATTCTTTTGACTAAGGTTAATTCCTAGCCTTGAGTACAATTAATATGGACACTGTAGCTCAAAACTGCCATTTAATACATTTTAATTTTTTTAAGACAAACTGTTTCAGCAATTAAAATCCTCAGATTGCCTTTGAAAACCATGGCTAGGATTGTATTTCAGTTTCACCCTGTCATAACACATATGCCTAAAGGCCCGCCCAACCTGTTACCATGGTTACAGGAGAGCCGAAGTGCAAAGGGAAAAAGGATTTTAAGACACAAATACATTTATTTTCCCCTGGAGAGTCAAGTTGCATATTAGATATGTTAGGTCAGAAGTTTTCTTTTTTGTTGTTGTTTTTAAAGGATTTTTTATTTTGATTCATTTATTTTAAATTTGACCAGAGAGACACAGAGAAAGAGAGAGAGAGAAAGGGAAAGTGAGAAAGCAAGCCACCAGGTCCAGGACTCGAACCTGGTTGGCCATGTGGGAGTGTCCAGTGCCTTAACCACTATGCCACCTGCTGATCCCAGGTCAGTCATTTTCTAAATGCAATCTCCAGACTATCGACATCTCTTGGAAACTTGTGAGAAAAGTAAAATCTTGGACCCCATTTCAAACCTCCTGAGTCAGTCAGCTATCTGTATTTTTTATGAGCCCTCCAGGGACTTCAAGAGCTTAAAAACTGCTGACTTGGGGCCAGCAGGTAGTGTGGTGGTTAAAGCACTGGACTTCCACATGATCAAGCATGGTTCAAGTCCCGGACCTAGCAGCTTTCTCTCTCTCTCTCCCTGGTAAGCACAACTGCCCTATAGAAAATTTAAAATAATAATAATAAATAAAATTAAATAATTTTTTTTGGAGAGGTTTTTGCCATAGGGCACATGCGCTCACCAGACAGAGAGAGACAGAGAGACAGAAAGCGAGAAATCACCCGCCGGGGGGATGGCCACGCCACAGTCCCTTCTCCTCCATTCTCCTCTTGAGATCTTGGGCATGCACACACACGTGCTCGGTGTGAGTTTTAAGCCACCGGGTCCAGGACTCGAACTGCGGTTGATTACATGGGATTCCAGGAACATAGCCATTATGCCAACTGCTGGTCCCCAAATTAAATAATTCTTAAAGACACATGAATTAGGCTGATTGCAGTGGCGATCCTAAGGACAGTTGCTTAAATAAGGTAGGTATGAAATTTTCTCACATAGCAATCTATTGGGTTGTCAGAAAAACCATGATGTATGTTTCTATGTTGTTCTGTGCAAAAATGCGTCAAGACTGTTCCATCCTCCCAATAGACATGACCAGTCCAGGTGGCTGGATATCGGTGGTCCATGCAGCCCTTCTTAGACTCAGCATCCTTCCGCTTTGCTCACCTACCATCCCTAAGGTAGGACTCATGTGTATCTAGAAGAGGAGGCTGAGTTCCCTCCATGGACCTGCCAGTAGGCGGGGAAAGAGAAGATGAAGAACTATGATGTCTTGGGACCAGCAGTTAGTGTAATGGCTATATCCCTGGACTCCCATGTAGTCGACCGCGGTTTGAGTCCCGGACCCGGTGGCTTAAAACTCTCGCCGGGTGCGTGTACATGCGTGCCCAAGATCCCGAGAGGAGAATGGAGGAGAAGGGACTGCGGCATGGCCATCCCCCCTGGGGGGTGATTTCTTGCTTTCTGTCTCTCCGTCTCTCTCTGTCTTTCAGGCGAGCACACGTGCCCTATAGCAAAAACCTCTAGAAAAAAAAAAGAAGAAGAAGAAGAACTATGATGTCTTGAAGCCAGGACCCTGTAGTGCCTTACTTCCATTTCCACGGACATTCTATTAGCTCGTATTGAATTGCACAGCCGTCCCCAGCTATAAGAGAGAGTGCAGGCGCCAGCAGGTAGTGTAGTGGTTAAGGCACTGAATTCCCACGTGGTTGACCTCGGTTCGAGTCCCAGACCCAGCAGCTTGAAACTCACGCTGGGCATGTGTGTGTGCATACCCAAAATCCTGAGGAGAATGGAGGAGAGGTTTGGGGCATGGCCATCCCCGAAGGGGGTGATTTCTCACTTTCTGTCTCTCTGTCTCCAGGGAGCACACACAGCATGTAACAAAGATCTCTCTCTCAAAAATAAAAAAATTAGAATGGGAAGGAAACTCCTGCTGGCTAGCCATGCGTTAGGTGAAACTTCCTGACCATGGAAGAAAAGCAGAGTGTTTTAGGGGACGACAGGAAGTCGGCCACAGGCTGTACCTCCCACCAGCAGACATCTGAGAGCGTTCTTTCGGTATGTGATACACCAGCCCCTCTCTCCATGTCTCACCGTGAAGCCTGGTGAGGGCAGCACATCCCCATCAGGCCGGCTGCTTGCATTCCAGCCACAGAGAGCACTGCACTTTTTTTTTTTTTCTAAGCGAATGTGTCATGACTTTTCCAACCACCGAATAACAGACATGTCTGCTCACATGGATTACAGTAACGCACAGAGCATCACAATTAAAAGGGCTGTTTGGGGAAAAGAAAAAGACGGACCAGCAGGTGGCATGGGGGTTAAAGCGCCAGATACTCTCACATGGCCGACTACAGTTCAAGTCTTGGGCCTGGTGGCTTGCTTTCTCACTTTCCCTCTCTTGCTCTGGTCAAATTAAAATGAATGAATAAATAAATAAAATTAAGTAATTTTTTTAAAAAAAGAAAGTAAGGGAACCAGCAGTTAGCGTAATGGCTATGTCGCTGGACTCCCACGTAATTGACCGCGGTTCGCGTCCCGGACCCGGTGGCTTAAAACTCACACCGGGCGTGTGTGCGTGCGTGCCCAAGATCCCGAGAGGAGAATGGAGGAGAAGGGATTGCGGTGTGACCATCCCCCCTGGGGATGATTTCTCGCTTTCTGTCTCTCTGTCTCTCTCTGTCTGTGTGGCGAGCGCATGTGCCCTATAGCAAAAACCTCTCAAAAAAAAAAAAAGAAGCGAGAACCTGGCTATATACAGAAGGCCTCAGATGCTGCTGAGCGATGAGGGGCCCGTAGCCTGGCAGCAGGCCATGGTTGGTCAGCCTGTCTGGACACCTTTGTTCTCTGGAAGCAGCACTCGGCTGTCGTTCTCTGTGGGCCCGGATTCTGCTCTTCGGGAAGTTCAGACTTCCCGTTAGCTTCATTTGATTTGCAGAAGAGTCTCTTCTTGGGGACCGGAGAGTTTGCACAGCCTGGCTTTTGCCGGGGCCCACTTAGATACCGAGGGTTCCTTTAAGGGTCGATCACAAGTATTTGCAACCCGGGCTTCTGGTTTATTTGTCAGTATGGCTCCCTGAAACAGCTAATCCCAGAAGGTTTCTGCTCTCCTTATTCCTAACCAGTTCCACATGAATGTAATCTCGCTTAAAGAATCATTGTAGGGACCAGCGGGTGGCATGGTGGTTAAGGCTCTGGACTCTCACATGGCCAGCCATGGTTCAAGTTCTGGATCTGGTGACTTGCTTTCTCACTTTCCCGCTCTCTCTCTCTGTTTGTCTCTCTCTCTCTTTCTCTCTCTCTCTCTCTCTCTGTCTCTGTCTCTGTCTCTGCCTCATGAGCATACATGGCCTCTATCAAATTTTTTTTTTGGAGAGGTTTTTGCTATAGGGTGCATGCGCTCACCAGAAAGAGAGAGACAGAGACAGAAAGCAAGAAATCATCTCCCAGGAGGGGACTGCCATGCCGCAATCCCTTCTCCTCCATTCTCCTCTTGGGAGTTTGAGCACGTACACACACGCGCCCGGCATGAGTTTAAGCCACCGGGTCCGGGACGCGAACTGCGGTCAACTACATGCGAGTCCAGCGACATAGCCATTACGCCAACTGCTGGTCCCCATGATGTGATTCTTAAGCCACCAGATCCGGGACTCAAACCATAAAGTATGCCGTTTGGGATCCAGCTTAACCTCCATGCCACCTACTGGTCCCTGCGTGTAATTTGTATCTTATTCTTTGGACTTTCTCTGTTTTCTAGGGTTTTTTTTTTCCTTCTTTCCCCAGTGCATGTATATTACTTCTGTACTTAAACTAAATTTTACAAAATTTAAAATGCTGGGACCAGCATGTGGCATAGTTGTTAAGGTGCTAAACTCCCACATGGCTGACTGCAGTTCAAGTCCCAGACCCAGTGGCTTGAAACTCACACTGGGTGCATGTGCATGTATGCCCAAAATCCCAAGAGGAGAATGGAGGAGGAGGAATTGTGGTGTGGCCAAGCCCCCAGGGGTGATTTTTCACTTTCTCTTTATCTCTGGTGAGTGCACACACCCAATAGTAAACATCTCTCCACCTCCCCCTGAAAGAAAAACAAAACTCCAAAATTTAAGATGCCTATTGTATTAGTTTATCTTCGTACTTTCAATTTACTTAAAAAAAAAAAAAAACACGAGAAATTAATATTTCTGCTTTAGTGAGTCACTGTTGCACGTGAGAAGGTTAACTCCCAAGTGCTTTTCTCTTCTAGTCAAGAACTGGCAGAAAACACAGTCATTGCCAAAGTAAATGGTCAACTCTGGGACCTGGACCGCCCGTTGGAAGGGAATTCCTCCCTGGAGCTGCTTACATTTGATGATGAGGAAGCCCAAGCTGTAAGTATTTAAAAACCAACCAATTGGACTTTGGGCATTTTTGTTGTTAGCTACGTTATGTAAGAAACCACATGAGAAAGTCAAGAGTAATGCGTTTGTTGGCCTGAAATTTAAAATAAATGTTGGACAGAGACTAGCAGGTGGTTAAGGCACTGGACTCCCCCATGGCTGACTGCAGTTCAAGTCTCGGACCCAGCAGCTTGAAACATACTGGGAACATGTGTGTGCATGAGAGGAGAAGAGAGGAGAAGGGATTGCAGCGTGGCCATTCCGCTGGGAGATGATTTCTCACTTTCTCTCTCTCCGTTTCTCCCTGTCTCTCCAGTGAGTGTACACCTTATAGCAAAAATCTCTCCCCTATAAAACAAATAAATAAAATAAATATTGGACAGATACTTGTGGAATGACAATGTATTCATATATGTTCATTTTCTAAGTAACTCATATTTATCATTTGTTGAAAGAACTGCTTCCTGGGACCAGCAGTTAGCGTAATGGCTATGTCGCTGGACTCCCACGTGGTCGACCGTGGTTCGCGTCCCAGACACGGTGGCTTAGAACTCACGCCGGGCGCGTGTGCGTGTGTGCCCAAGATCCCGAGAGGAGAATGGAGGAGAAGGGATTGCGGCGTGGCCATCCCCCCTGGGGGCTGATTTCTTGCTTTCTGTCTCTCTCTCTGTCTGTGTGGTGAGCGCACGCGCCCTATAGCAAAAACCTCTCCAAAAAAAAAAAAAAAAAGAACTGTTTTCTTAAGTTAGAATGCTTTAGTTAATAAATTAATGTGTATTTGAAATGAGTTATTAGCCCTCTCTTAAAATGGATCTACCTTATAATTATTTATTTACTTATTCATTAAGGATTTTGCCACAGGGAGCATGCATTTGCTGGAGAGAGACAATGAGAGACAGTGAGTGGAAAAGTGAGAAATCACATTCCGGGAGGATATCCAAGCCACAGTCCCTTCTCCTCCATTTTCCTCCTGGGATTTTGGGCATACACACACACGTGTGCCTGGCATGATTGTAAAGCCACCAGGTCCAGGACTCGGACCGTGGTCGGCCATGTGGGAGACTAGTACCTTACCTCTCATAGCACCTGTTTGTTTATTTAGTTCTCCCATGAGAGACAGAGATCGAGACAGGCAGCCCCAACATGGCTTCCACGCCATTATCCACCCCCCAGTCTCTGCTGGCCCAGATCACAGGATTACACATGTGCTGGACAGGCTGACGGAGGCCCTGGGACCGGCCTTAGGATTGTTCTCCGTGGTCCAGTTTCAATACCACCTGGTCCAATCTACCTCACTATTTAATATATATATAAAGAGAGTTGGTAATTATCAAAATTCAAATATCCTTTAATTACTTGTTAATGTAATGTTTTTTCTTTTCAAAAAATATGTCAGGTAGTGAAATTGTTACATCATTGGACTCTCATGTAATTGACGACGATTCGAGTCCCCAAGCCTGTGACTTAAAACTCACACCGGGGGTGGGACCAACAGATGGTGTAATGGCTATGTCGCGAGACTCCCATGTAGTTGACCACAGTTCGAGTCCCAGACCCAGTGGCTTAAACTCATGCCAGGCGCGCGTGCATGCGTGCCCAAGATCCCGAGAGGAGAATGGAGGAGAAGGGATTGCGGTGTGGCCATCCCCTCTGGGGGGTGATTTCTCGCTTTCTGTCTCTTTGTTTCTCTCTGTCTCTCCAGTGGGTGTACACAGTCTATATCAAAAATTAGTTTTAAAATAATTGTCAGAGAGGGTGGATGCTCTCTGAGAGAGAGAGATTAAAAAGTAAGAAAGCAACCCCCAATGGGGCATGGTCATATCGCCATCCCTTCTCCTTCATTGTCATCTTGGGATATGGGATTTTGGGCGTACATGTACATGCACCCAGCATTTTTCTCAAGCTGCTAGGTCCAGGATTCGAACAGCATGGTTGGCCATATGGGCTAGCCCATAATTTCCTATAAAATAAATATCACATTTTCTATAGGTCTTTCATATATATGATTATGTTCACTTGGCAGTATCCTTTCAAGGGGTTCATTATCTTTACAAAACCTAATGTATGGTTAACTTAGGTTATATTAATGATAAAGTTTATGCTAAATTTCTTAATTTCTTCAAATTATAGGACCTATAATTTCTGTTCAAAATATGCAACTTATAACCAGTAAATAGCTAAACAATATAGTGTTGATAAAAACCCTGTTTAAAAGTGATGGGGCAACCAGCAGTTAGCGTAATGGCTATGTCACTGGACTCCCATGTAGTCAACCACAGTTCGAGTCCCGGACCTGGTGGCTTGGACTCACGCTGGGTGCATGTGCATGCGTGCCCAAGATCTTAAGAGGAGAATGAAGGAGTGGGGATTGCGGCATGGCCATCCCCCCATGGGGGGTGATTTCTCGCTTTCTATCTCTCTATCTCTCTGTCTTTCTGGTAAGCACATGCACCCTATAGCAAAAACCTCTCCAGAAAAAATTAAAAAGTGATAGGGGGAGCGGCAGGTGGCATGGTTGTTAAGGGCACTGGACTCCCACATGGCCAACCACGGTTCAAGTCCAAGACCTGGCAGCTTGCTTTCTCATTTTCTCTCTCTGTCTCTCTTTGGTCAAATTAAATAATAAATAAATACACTATCTGCCAGCCCCAGAATTATGCTTTAAAGTTTACATCTTCACAGAATAATTTCTGCCTCAACCCCTTTAATGGATCCCATTGCATCTAGAACAAAATTCAGATTCCTTCCTAAGACCTGTGTGGTTCGTCCTCTTCTAGCCCTTCTAACCCTTTGTTAGAAGGGCTTTGTTCATGCAGCCTAGGCCTTCCTGTGTCCCCATGAAGGTAGGGCCTTCTCATTATTGTCTATAACAGAGTTCTGGGGTTTTTTGTTTTGTTTTGTTTTGTTTTAAGAATTATTTATTTATTTAATTTCATTTGTTTTATTATTATTTAATTTGACCAGAGAGAGAGAGAGAAAGGGAGAGCAAGAAAGCAAGTGGCCAGGTCCAAAATTTGAACCATGGTCAGCCATGTGGGAATCCAGTGCCTTTAACCACCATGCCCCCTGCTGGCCCCTGTTCATTTCCTTTTAAGTCCCCTTCTCAGCTTATGATTATATACTTAAGGTTTCTTCTCATTTTTTGAGAGAAAGAGTTTTGTGTGTTTTTTGGTTTTGTCTGTTTGTTTTTTTGCTATAGGGCATGTATGCTCCCCGGAGAGGCAGAGAAAGAGAAAGTGAGAAATCACCCCCTGGAGGGATGACCACTCTACAATCCCTTCTCCTCCATTCTCCTCCTGGGATTCTGGACATGCACATGCGCGTCCCCAATATGATTTTCAAAACACTGGGTCAGGGACTCGAACCACCCTTGGCCGTTTGAGAGTCCAGCAACGCAACCACTACACCATCTGCTGGCTCCTAATTCAGGTTGAACTGTGGCTTCTCTGCTTAGTCGTCTGAGTTGATGGTCTTGGAAGGAAATGAGGTAGTAACCATGCATTAGCCACAGCTCTGCACAGGGTTCTTTACCCTAGAGCTGAGCGAGGGCTCTGGTGGAATGTCAGGGAGAGGTCAGATGACACTCTCTCCTAAGCGGGCAGTGAAGAGTTTCATTTCGAGTCGAAGCTGCCCTTGTGTCTTCGCCTTTGTACCCTTCGGTTGAACCTTGCTGACTCATGCAATGTTCCTGCTAATTTCCCATGACGTGATTCTGCTGACTCATGGCCTTTCTGTCCCATGCCGTGCAGGTGTACTGGCACTCCAGTGCTCACATCCTTGGGGAGGCCATGGAACTTTACTATGGAGGCCACTTGTGCTATGGGCCACCCATTGAAAATGGATTTTATTATGATATGTTCATTGAAGACAGGTAACACCACTGGATGCTGACTTAGTGCATGTGCAAGAAAGAGACAGAGAGGGAGAAAATGAGAAATCTCCCTCACAGGAGGATGACCATGCCACCTCCCCTTCTCTTCCACTCTCCTTTCGGGATTTTGGACATGCATGCACATGTGCCTGTGTGATTTTTTTCTCTTTTTTGGAGAGAGATTTTTGCAATAGAGAGCATGCACTTGCCAGAGAGACAGTGAGACAGAAAGCAAGAAATCGTCTCCCAGGAGGATGGCCACAGTGCAATCCCTTCTCCATTTTCTTCCCAGGATTTTGGGCAGGCATGCACCTGTGCCTGGAGGGAGTTTCAAGCTGCAGGTCTAGACTCAAACAACAGTCAGCCATGTGAAAGTTAGTACCTTAACCACTATGCCACCTGTTGGACCTGCCCGGCATGATTTTTTTTTTTTTTTGAGAGAGAGATTTTCACTGTAGGGCGCGTGCGCTCGCCAGACAGACAGAGAGAGACATAGAGACAGAAAGCGAGAAATCACCCCCCAGGGAGGATGGGCACGCCACAATCCCTTCTCCTCCATTCTCCTCTCGGGCTCTTGGGCACGCATGCACACACGCCCGGCATGAGTTTTAAGCCACCGGGTCTGGGACTCAAACAACAGTCAGCCATGTGAAAGTTAGTACCTTAACCACTATGCCACCTGTTGGACCTGCCCGGCATGATTTTTAAGCCACTAGGTCCAGGATTTGAACCAAAGAGTCAACCATGTAGGATCCAATACCTTAACTACCATGCCAGCTACTGGCCCTGAACCTGGTTTACTCTCAACCATGCAACACTTCTGACCTCAAATGTGTGCTTTATCCCATACCAACAACCACGTCTCTAATGCCCCAGACACCAACGAGCTGTCTAACAGTTAGATTCAATTCAGTTCTGACACTGTCTGTCCAGAGTTAGTTCAGCTCTCACGGGATGAGGGTCCAGTCCCACTTTAGGTATCAGTCTCAAGTCTGGACATCCCATCCTTCCTACTGGTTAAGTGAGGAGTTGGCCCGTCCCAGGTGTGCAGTTCGTGGCATGCCAGACGGTGGTGCTGGAGAGGCCGCTGCAGGATTGGGTCCCTGGTGGGCCCAAAAAC